CTAAGGATGCTGAGAGTGATCTGCAAATCAAAAGCATTTGTGTGGACTTTCTGGAACTCTCTGCAAGTAGCATCACTGAAAGCAAATTAGCAAAATGAAGAATTACACTGTCACGCTGCAGAAATTTAATGCACTATTTCCTAATGTGTCACATGTGATTCCCAAATGACAAATTACATTACGTACTTTCTGTATTATTTCCCCTAAATTGCTGTACTCTAACAATTACTATTTTTTCTTTACTGACTGGCAAGCAAACTTCTAACATATATAGCCTTTTTTAGTAATGCCCTGTTTTGGCATCTTTACATCTCAGTTTATGACAAAGGAATAACCTGCCCACATTTGGGATGAAACCAGTTTCAATTATTTGGGCCCTCTAATCTGGGAAGTTTCTTTGGCTTGAAGCGTGTCAGACTTACTCTTTTGGAGAAGCAGAACATTTCCACAAAGCCTCATGATCGTTTCTCCAATTACAGTCTGCTTCGCATGTCACTGTTTAGGTGAAGTTAATTCTTCTTCAGCTTCTGACTGGCATCAAAAATAGTTTGCTATCGTTTCCTTCCACTTAACTCTCCAAAGCAGCTACACATTACTAGCCAGCCACGTCTGATGGAAGAAAGAAAGGACACTCTGAGCAAGTTGTTTCTTTTCTTCTATGGATAACCCGGCACATATCCCAGCTTGTAGCTGTGTTAAACAGAAGAAAGTTGTGTGTGTGTGTGTTCTAGGTATCAGGGGCTTTTGCAGTTGCTTCCAGTAGAGGAGAATTTGCATGATTTGAGTCAAAAGTTCATCGCGATCTTGCCAGAAGGAACCCTATGCCACTTGCACCAATACACCTCCACCTGTGTTCCCATTTACAGACTGGAATTTGCTGTTTATGACTCCCGAAACCCTTCCTGTGGCCAACAGCTGATCCAGGCCACCAAGGTCTCTACTTCTGGGGCTGCAGAACAAGGTCTTCATCAATCCCTGAGCAAAGTAGGTCATTTACCATGGAAACCAGGATTTCCCTTTACATTTGTCCCAGCCCCACAGTTAAAGAGTAAATTTCTGCGTACCCTCTTAAATCTGAGAGAATTAAGTTTATCATTCCAGATAACTATGTCTTGAGATTTCCAATAAACCTTTAACATTAGTATTTTTTGACAAAGCTTCACACCAGTATTGATTTTTCAAGACCAGGAGAAAATAGGATGATTTAATAAAACATCCACTCTTGAGGTTGCAGTTCTGCAATAATAAAAATACTGAAGGATTAGAAATGAGCATGTAATGCGTTGACTTCCCAACTCATGACTACATTTATAAGGGTGAGAATTTAAGTTCTTGTAGGATTCCTCCTTTGTTTGTAGTCACAGCAAACTCTCTGTAACAGAAAGAGGTTTTCTAGGAGTAGATCTGCAGAAACTTCACATGGCTGGGAGAAGACCTAGCTTCTCAGGTTGAAGATGACCATTTTGTTATAGTAAAAATCTCTTTACATGGCTGGGACAGTTAATGACGTGGAGCTTTTTCCCTGCAATATTTTTTTGAGCAGCATAGGTGTGTGAGGAGGAAATCTTTCATTAGACATTTAAAGATGCATTTAAGAAAAAGCTAATTCACTGAAAAAAACACTGAGTAGTGGCCAGACATCTACTACAATGTCCTGAGCCATCGCTTTGATAACTGAGTAATATACTTTTCCTGTTCAACTGTAGCAGTTCAATGAAGCCACACTAATTCAAGGATCAAAGTCCTTGAAGACCAAGTGGAAAGTCTCCCACTGACTTTAAAGTCAATGAGTCAAGTCCCTACTATCCAACGACCTCCAAACTTTGCCACGCACTGAGATTCCCAGATGCCCCCAGTGTTGTTTGCTACTTCAGTGTAGTTATTCATTTAACACTAGCGGAGCTTAAAATCTTGAGTCGCGTTTTCACTTCTCTTCTGAAGTATTTTTTGGTAAGCTTGGAAAATTCCCCGTGCAACCTCCTATCAAATTCTAGTCACAGCTGCTAACTTCACGTGCCCTTGCCAACCTCATCCCTTTCTTGGTGCAAAAACTAGAAAGCAAGAAAAGTTCCAAGAGCAGGTAAAACATTAAATGCATGTATCAAAACACAATCTTCAGCAAAATAAAGACTGTTTTCACTTTTGACTTAAAAGCCTGAACCTAAAACCTTCTGACATCACTGATTAGCTCTGGTCAGTCCAACTACATATATATTTCTACCATAACTTAGGTTTACATGATTTTCTCATTGCATTAGTTTAAAACATTCTCAGAAACAGCAATTTTGTTAGTGATTCTCTTAGTTGCTATACCAACTAATATTAATTAACCCCTAATATTTATAGCAAAATCAGGACAAAACAGGGAGGTGTCACACACCTTAATATTCTCTTTAAATATCTTAAGTTCATTCATACTTTAACTCACTGGTACTAATAAGTTACTGTCATAATAGCAATTTTTTGCATTACGCTGGCAGTAACTAATGCAGAATGGGTGTTTCAGCACCACATTCGGCACACACAGCAACGGGACCAGAAGCGTCTCAGACGTTTTCCTTCCCTTTCAGGCCCTGTGGAACCGTTCTACAAAGTATGGCTCATACAGATTTATGCACCCAGACACTGCAATAAATGTTCTTCTTGCCAGCCTCCTATTTTGAGACAGGAAAGTTGTTATTTTTTATTCCAAAAGTCATGTAGCTTTTCCAGGGAGGAACTTTCACGAACAACGTTCAGTCAAGTCATTTCACATCTGAGACCTCAGTAAAGCTAAATACCTCTCATGAAGTCTAGATGTTCCAAGAACACTTCAGTGATATAAAAAGCACTTAGCATTCATGATATTGTACTCCAAGCCTCTTTCAAATAGGGCTGTTAGTGAGTAGCAAACAGAAGGTGACGCTTCGTGGTTTGTGGGGTATTTATCTGGGTTGTTTCCTTTGTGTTAGAGAAGAAAAGCCACAAATCCAAGCCGTGAGCAGCCGCACTGAATGATACAAGCCTTGGGGGGGGAAGAAAGTTTACAAAGTTACATTTGTTACATCTATTTAAACTGCTCTATCACAAATGCCAAATACCTGTATATAATTAATTCTACCAGATGGACTTCTACATCAGTAAGTCTTAGCTAATATCCTTGCATTATTCTTGTTTAAACATTTACCAGTGAAACCTGTGTACTTTACTGGACACTGAATTATGATCCTTTTCAGAAATTATCCTTTTAAAACAAAAGCCATAATTGAGGCTTAAGAGGTAAATCATGTAATGGAAATGCCCCTCAATCTCCTTTTAATTAACAGCACTGTGCACAAATACAAGCTGAGCTACTCATTTCCTCCAGACAATGCCTCTCAAAGCGTAAGATGTTATCTCCCAGCGAATCTTTATATTAAAGTGCTTCTGGCTTGTACCATTTCTATCCTATTGTCTTCCCAATTAGTTCATAGGACACCTGGCCTTTTTTCTTTTTTTAACTTGATGTTTTTGAGATTAACATTCTGAACCTCATGCTTTGCGCATGCAGACCTCTACGTGTATACCAAGTCCCGAAGTCTGTCAGTGGCAGCCCACAGCTGTCATTCAGGTTTAAATGGGTACACGGCAGGACACGTAGACTTCCAAACAAACTGTCCAGACCTTCTGAGCGCACCAAGAGAACATCATCTTCACGTGAGTACCGCCATCGTTGGCCACAAACACACTTTGGATCTTTTCGTGCAACTACAGTTAAAAACGCAAAAGACTCCCGAATCCAACTGCTCTTCTGTTTGGCATAGCCATGACAGTAACCCACAGAAATAATGCATCCTTACTTCAGCTTTTAGCTGGCAAACCTTTAGGGGCCTCTAACATGCATACTCACATGAGCAATCTGGCAGACTGAGGCAGCAAAGTTTGGAGCCTACGTGAGCATGTACACAACCAAGTTCCCTTGTGAACTGGATGGAAGGATGGCTACGTCTTTGAAGAGTTTATAATAAATAAAAATGCCTAAATTCATACGAGTCACTGAAAGTTTCTAGAAAGATGCAACAATTATTTGAATTTAATAAACCTGTCAATGCACTGAACTTTCACTTTCAAATATATAGTTTTAGACAGTCAGTGACAAGAGAACGTTCAGTTAGCACCCAGTTCAATTCAGTCCACATTCTGCCTGGCACGAATTCTCCATGATGAAGATTTGAGAAACAGCAATGGATGACTACCCTGCTACCACCTTGGAGCACACTTTTCTCACAGTATCAGCAGTAAGGGATGAGTACTGCAGCCAAAATTCCAATCAAGTTCCTGCATCTGCAGTTTACTATAGCTGTCCCCAGCCTGCTCCTTTTTTTGGACCCTACAAATTGCCCTTTGGGTATGTCTATTTTTTCCACTGACCAGACACAGCAGCTTAGAGTGGAATCCAGGCTGTTTGCTTGCAGCCCTTGAAGCAGTTTTCTCAGGGGCAACAGAAGTAAGGGAATATGGCATACATTCAAGTTCAGAAGTTGAAAAGGAAACAGTTTTACACAGGGAATAAACCTTACAAAACTCTACAAATAGAGCATTTCGCACAGTGATGTAATGAGAAAGTAAACATGGCTCTTTCATAAACACCAGACTGGATAGCACTGTTTAAGACTCTTTAATACTCAGAAGATTAAAAACATATCAAAAAAAGTGTCAATCATTCAGCAGTAATAAAATGGAATTCTAAGCATTATGAGTAAAACATCACTAGAATCATTTACCAGCAAGTATGGGTCAGGCCATTATCATCTGAATAAGGAAGTGTCACTTCTCTCGCATCAAGTGGCCCTTTCAGACACACATACAACGTGATCACCTCAGTGAAAGTGTTCTGGACACAACACAATCCTGCAGAATTCTTAAGTATAACTTGATGAAGATGTTGCTCTACAGCACCTCTGCAAGATGCATGCAGTATACAAAACAGATTTCAAATTAAGTTGTAGGTATCTCTAATTTATATAAAGGGAAAGAAAAATTTAGTCCATCTTTCGCTTTTTTCCCTTATTAGGCGTTTTGGATGTATGTTCATTTTCAGCGTTTGGTTCCCAGAGTGCATTTCTCACAAATCTAGAAGCAGCTCCTTTATCGAGTTTGGATGCCTTTTGCTTGTCTGTTATTTCTTTGACTTTGTTCATGTATGTTCTTATTCTCTCCTAGGGGAGGGAAAAAAAAGAGCATATTTCACACCATTCCCCCAAAATTGCTGCTAAAATAAAATCACTGAGTAAATGCTCTCCGTGCTACACACTTCCATCATTATAATGCCTAGAAAAATAGCATCATTTAAATCTATAAACCAGGCTCTTTGCAAACTTGAGGCTTCCCTTTCAGCAGATCTGTCATCACGGGTACCTACCATCCTAATACCTGCATGACACCCACTGTCACAGGAACATGAAGTCCTGCAGAGATGAAGACTCTGCATCCAATTTACAGTGAGAGGAGAACCGTTCTCGCAAGCAAAGTTTGAAAACAAAATACCAAACCTGGAGTTTGGCCTACATAAAGATGGCAAAATACTATTTAGATGCTTGACTTATTTATAGAAGAATTATACAGCCTAACTGCTCTCTAAAAAAAAAAAAATCATGCCCAAGCAAAGCCAAAAAATGCCTTACACCAAATCGATGTTACAATCATTACATGTGCAACTACACGGAAGTCTTGTGTTCAAGACCCTGAAACAGTCAAGAGGGCTTATCAGTGTACCTATTTGAGGCAGCCTGATGAACTCCCAGCTGTACCAGAAGTTCCTTTTGTGACCATAAATAACAAAAAAAGCCTGTTTCCACTGCCATTCCATAAAGTAAGGGGACGCTTTCTCGCCATCTTAGCCTACCATAGCCATTTGGTGTCTAAGGATTTTTTGAATAAAGCATGGCTTGGATTCAGCCCCACCTCAACGATCTCATTTATGTGGCTACTCGTCCTCACCTACTTCTGCAATCAATAAAGAAAATTACCCTGAGGGGGTAACTAAACCCCTCTGAGATGGGAATTGCCCCCCGTCAAGTGCCTGCTTCTTTTCACTGACTAGTGAAGACACAGTAATTCTGTAAAATACATACAAGTTTGGTTGACAGATTTGTCTACATATTCACCCTAATATAGCCTTCACCTCTAGGGCCTTTAGGTGTTACTGTAATACAAACAGCATTAACATGTACATACACACATTTAGAGTGCTCTGATACTTGAATTATCAACATAGGTTAACAGAACATTTATGGATACTGCTAGCTAAACAAATGTTATTACTATGTAACCACACATTTCTCACACCCCCATGGACAGCACTTTATCTGGAACAAAAGTTACAAATCCTACACTACAGAACTGGTTTTCGGTGACCATTATAAGCAACTGATTTGTCAAAAAGTTGGCCACTCTTTCTAATCCTTCCATAGCAAAACTGCAGCTTTAATGCGGAGAGCTTTACAGGAGCTGAAATCACGACAGACTGTAGTACTTCTCGGGCAACTGAAACGGCTGATGAGAACAGATGGCCAACCTACACGTGTCAACGTGGGAAACAGGAGCTGACAAATGTCAGTGTGACAACAGAAATGAACTCTGATAGCTTGAATGGGAGTTCTAGTAATACAGTCTGAATCCCAGTGTATTCCCTGTACGTACTCAAGGAGAGCAATTCTAAAGACAAAACAGTCGTGACAGAACAGTCTTTTTTTCATTCCTTTTCCACACGAGTAAGAACATCACAGTGCTTTTGAAGGAAGGAATGTACATTCATTCACCTTGATACTTGTAAAAGGAGAAGAGAACTGGGTAAGAATCTAGGCTGTGAGAATTCACTCATTCTTCAGAGTGAAAACGACTGGCAATTGTGAAGTAAAATACGGGCATAAAACACCCACAGCAGAAGAGGTAAGATTTATTTTTTAGTACCGCTAAATTAACACACTCTTCAGACACCGTATGATATAGGAGAAACAAAAAACTGACTGAAAACTCATGAAATAGTAACTGATCCATTTTTTAATACGATACAGTCTAGACTACTGAAAACCTCACAAAATTAAAAATAGCAGTATTCTTGTTATTCAGGCTAGCTTTCCACATTTTTCAGTCCTATCTTCCGTTCTGCTGGTTGCGTAAGGATTACATTTAAGCTAAGTGTTTTACGATTGCCCAGATTTAATATTTTCATTTATCCAGGAATTAAAATTACAGGTAGCTGTAAGTTTTGATTTCTATTTTTTCTTCAGGCTAAATGATTTGATATTTTAAGTCAGCAGAATTTTCAAGATAGCCGTCCTTCTATACTGTAGTCACGCATCTAAATGGAATATAAAGACAAACCTAAAAGATTTATTATCGGTTGTAAATATGTCACTAATGCAGAATTACTGGACAATACACATACAACTGGTGCCAAAAAAGCTTTTAGCTTTGTTGCTGAACTGGATTCTTTACTGCTGAGAAAATGAATTAATGGAGGACTTGGAAGGGGGAGGGGGGCTCTTTCCCGTCTTCACTAGTAAATCAACCACACTATACTTTTAGAGTCATACAAAAGTAAGAAAAGGCAGCCTGAGAGATTAACATGATTCCAAGTATTTATAAGGAAAAAATGCCATACTGGAAGTTATAAATTATTATCAGACATGTAACATTTTTCCGTTTAACAGATACAAGTGAAAAGCTGCTCTGTTCAGAATCCAATTCTCAAAGAAAGGTGGAGAAAAGATGACACCATTCATCATCTTGTTCTTTTCTAATTTCAGCAGACTCTACAACTTTGCTATAAACAGTACTGTTTGGAACTAAAAATATGACTTTAAGAGAGCTCAGCAGAGCATATGAACAGTTATATAGCACCACATAGCATACGCATGCTAGTATGGTAACATAGCCATTTTAAACATAAACATTTTATTTTACTTCTATAGAGGTTAACTGTCCTGGGCAAGTAAGATATTGCTGTGCATGCAGTGTAAGAATCTTACCAGCTCGTGTTTCACTGGATGTTCTTTTGGATTGATTCCTTGAGTAGCCAAGTATACTACAAGAAAAAAAAATGGGTTTTTTGAATCTGAAGGCTGTCAATCAATCAGTGACACAGGAAAACTGTAGCTTTCACATAAAATTATTATTAAGAACTAGAATTAACTGTGATGCTAAGTATCTGACAAACTATTATCATCAAATATTGCACAAAACTCCCACCAAACTACTATGGTTAAATTTTCTGGCCTTAAAAGGACAGAAAAGGTCACCATGACAAAACAGAAAGAATCATCCTCATGCACGTACAAAGTCAGCTTTTGTAAATATCAGGTTTTGATTTGGAATTTCAACATCATTTACCCTACAGATGGCAATAATTTGGGTCCTCGGGGTAATTACAAGTATCTGGCTACAAAATATGATTATTTAATGTTTGCAGCTGCCTCAGTGTTCAAATGGCAATCATAAATACTACTTTTTCCTCCCATCACATACTTACCCCAGAACACCGAATTTAGAGTGTACACTGAAACCAAATCCAGCTTTGCTTGCTCAAGAGGCTCCAACTAGAATGCAAAAACAAAAAATACCCAACACATTTGCACATTTTTTCAGCGAGATGCACACACATTTTAGTAATACGCACATTATATAATTGTGAATGTATTCATTAAAAAATACACATGGAATAAGCAAGTTTTTGCACCACAAGTTCACTGAGACAATGTCTATGCCTATTTCTGTGCCATTACAGACCCATTCTCTCCTCTACAAGCATGTGTGTCATTTTCCCAGTCTCGTGCTAAATGCCACAGTCCCATATGGCCAAAAGCACAAAAATCTCCTGGCACGTAGCTCTTAGACTACTGTTGCCATAGTCTGAAGTTCACAAAAATTTAATTCAAAATAGTTGTTGCTATCAATGGAGGGAAAAAAAGAAAAAAGAAGTCTTAAGATCGCTGAAGCTCAAGAGTGACTCTAGTGTGCTACAGACAACCAGTGAACATTAGCACTATGCATGGTAGGCTGTATTCAACGCAAGCTGGAATACTTAGGGCTGTAAAACAAAGGAAGAATAAAGGTAATGAGGGTTTTTTTCCTTGACTGTCAAAGTCAATTTATTATTTTAGCCCTACAGGATTTCCAGAAACTCAGATAACATCATTGTACAGCGTTCTAGTTCTAACATGGATACTGTCAAAAGATCGGTGTCGTCAAGACTTTCTTCGTAATTTATTTGTTAGAAATCCTCAGAGGATAAAGAAGTTCCCTCATGTGCTGGCTTTTTCTTGCCCTACAGAAAGAAATTACATGTTTGACTTTAAACGTTAAAAGATAGAGAGGCTTGTATGAAGTCTTCAGGCAGTACCTTGCTCTGTCTTTATGCCCTCAAAACCCCCACATTTTACAAACTTATGCTTACAACATAGCTAGAGGTGACAGCTCAGCTTTTCAAGCACCAGGCTCTGCAAGTCAAGACTTCTAGAATCAGATCAATTCTCACTGCTGTCAGTTCACCTGTACATCCTTCTGGGTATACCAAGTTCCATTAAGTTTGTTGTGAAAAGGTCTCAGACAAAAATGCGAATGACCTCTCCATTATGAAAGAGCACTCAGCATGCACCTTAAGGAAGGTCAGGAATAAGCTAGACTGACCTTCACCTAAATGACTCACTGGTAAGATCATCACTTTTCAGCTTACAAGAGCATATATTTCATTGTTTAACTTGTAACATCATCTGGGTATCTTAGAAACATAAGAATTTCAAATATTAGGCATCAAGAGGAAGAAGAGGTCGTATTTGTTATTTCTCTGTGCTCTGGCTAGCCTGACAGACCCCTTTATTTCCGTTCAGGTAGCCAGGTATTCTTGTACTAACAACAAAAAGGTTGTCAAAAGGAAGATTATTTACCTTTTGGAGATCGCTCCTGGAAACCAACATCATTGTCTTCAGCATCTCATTTACAGAACCAAGAGATTTTTCAAATGCTGCAAGGTAATCATGAATTTCAGTCGGGTTTTCTTCTGTATTCATATAATCTTCTGACATTTCCATCTGGAAAGGGGAAACAAAACTAACAATCCTTTTCATTAAGTCCCTACAGAGTCAAAATACTGTATTTCACAATACACAGCATTAGCATTTGTTCATTAAACACTGTAAGAAATGCCTCTTTCTGGAGAGTTCTGGTGGGTAATGTCAGCAGTGACACAGTTAAAAGCCCTATAATTTGAGGGATATCTCCTAAACTGCTGTGCAAAATGGCATGAAGGAGCATTACAAGTGACATGACTGTGGTACCTCTTCTTGTAACAGTCCCAAACCAGCATTTAGCTTTTATGATCTGTGATAGAAAGAAATTATTTGCTTGTTTAAAAGAAGTGCTCTATAAATCACAGTATATAAAGAGCTACACCAAGCAACAGGCAGGACACAAAAACAATGGGGATATGGCTTCAGCCTGTTGTAGGAACAGACGTTACTTCAGCTTTAAAGCGGTTACGCAGCACCACTTATGTCAGGGTCAGTTACATCTTCCAGTGCTAAATACAGGAGTCGGTCCAAGAAATTCTTCTGGTGAACCCTGCATCCCATCTTCTGAATTCTCTATAGGGTATTATAATCTGCGATATAACTCCACCAGTAACCAAGCTGAGTTGATCCTGGGATTTCAGAATACTCTGGAAATCTTGTAGACACATCTATGCACGTGTGCGATAAGCAGAGATGTGAGAAATCCCAAAGCACTCCTTGTCTGATCCCAGCGTTCACGGTAACATGGCATGTTACTGCCAAGCCATCTGGCTGCTGGCTTACAATCACTATCTTGAATTCCTCTCAACTCATAAATCACGTATTCGCGTCGATAGTTCGTGTTACTTAAAGCTGTTACCTTCTACAACTTCTACTGATTGAGCAACAATTTTTTGAAGGAAAGAGAGGAAGAAATCTATCATTTTCCTGCCCATTTGCTGAGCTGCATCAAGAACAGTGGGAAGCACCTGGATCACTGCAGTCCTTCCTACTTAGGATCAGAGTGATAATCCCACTACCCAGCTGCTGAGTACAGAGGGCGGGAACATAAACTGGAGAAACTGCACTTTGAAAATCTGATCTGTGAACACCAAGCCACACAGCCCGTGCAAACAGCACGGAAACAGCAAACAGCTGTCACATCACTGGAGTTTGTTTTAGATAAAGATTTCATCTTTTCCTGGCAGGAGTGTGGTATGTGTGAGAGAGGTTTCTTTTTATTTATACTGTCTCCTGGAGGTCAAACAGGAGAAAGATTGGGAGGAAAAACAGCATGGAGCTACTCAAGCTTGTCTGCAACTCCAGTTTTAACCTCACCAGCATGATTCCAGAAATATGATCAGCCAGTTAACAAGCCCAGTTTCACTGTTGTTTGCACAGTGTAGAATCATAATCCTACTCAGCTGTGTGACTTTTCATCCTGGTCAGAGCTGGTTTTCACACCGAGTACAGAATCGCAGTGCTAACCATGACACGTCAAGGGTCCCCTCCCTACCCCAGAATGTAACTCAACACATGCAAATACTGTTTCAGTCAGCAGCAGCAGTCGTAAGCAAGAAAGCTGAGCTGGACCTCTAAGATGCTGCCCACAGAAAGGCAAAATGCCAATACAATTATTTCTGCCACTTAACGGTAGTATTGTTTGTGTTTTGTTCTGTCCCGGCCACCTGCATTACAATCACCCTTGATAGGTTGATTAAGAAGAGTCCAGACACACCGATTGTGGTTTAGTCACACAATACAGCACAAAAACACACTCAAAGCTACAGAAGAAACTAGATTTTCCCAGCTGTTAATACGGTTAAGCCTGGCTAGAAGGTACCTGTCAGTACACATTTACACATTCAGGGAGAGGTGTAATCCAATCCAACAATCATCTACAGTTTACCATCACTACAATACCTAATCAACTATGGTCTTAATTGGATGGTCAGGCATGAATGCAGTGATAAATGCCAACTTTTCTCTTTAAGGGCATGCACCACCAGCAACTGCAGGAATAAAAAAGCCAACAACAAAAACCTGTGGCAGGAAGGTGTTATCAATCAAAACTAACCCCAGCTATTGTACAGCAGTTGCAAGGATAAACAGACAACATGTATGATGTTCTTTCTGATATCCCAAGCTAGACCTAAGGAATGAGACAGAGAAAGAATAGGAGGACAGAAGGAAAGAGAACAGACACAGTCCAAAATACATTTTTTTTTTGTGATCGCTGTCTTATGAACCAGAAAGAATTAAGCTTGCCCTCATCATGAAGTATTTACTTGACACTGTCAATTAACAAGGAAAGAGGGGGGGGGAAAAAAAAAAGCATCAGCCTCCAACGGCAGAAGGCTGGCTGCACATCAGCCCGTGTACAGTACCCCTCATTGATAAGTCTGCTCCCTCTGCCCAGGGAGGGGGAAGGATTTGTTGACCTTGTGTTTTCTGTTCATTTCAACAGGAACTAGCAAGTTCCGACTCCTGCTGCGCAGGGACCTCTCTCTTTTCCTTGAACTGTTGTTTCAGCATCACTAATCTCTTCGCAGGATACATTACAGCGTTGGCACATGCCAACAATAAGGCAGCAGTGAACAGCCTAAAACAGTTTTGATAACATTAAATCAACAAGAACAAACTTACGCTACGTTAGAAAACGTGTACACCGGAAACCCCACAAAACTGTTTCTGCCAAAACCAACATGCAGACTGCACAGTCGCACCTGCAGAATGACAAAGCCCAGGATGCAAGGAACTAAGACCACAGCAGTGACTCCCTAAACATACCTAAAGGCTCTACTGCCCTCAATAGTTACGTTTCAGTTACTAAACCGCAAACAAGACTTTCCTCAAGTTTTACAAGTGTTCCTCTACGTATTTTGAACAAGTAGAAATTTAATTCAGTTCCTGAAGTTGATGTTTACTACACAGGTTTTCTCTGCTGGATTTGCTGACTTTCAACCAAATTTTATTTGACACAGAGATTCCACTGAACAATATTAAGGACTGTCCAAATACTCAGATAAGAGAAGTTATGAACATACTTGCTGGGTAAGCACGTGAGTAATGGGGAAGTCAAAGGGAAATAAGGATAAGACAGCCTTTTCATTATCGAGTGTAACACTTACGACGCAGAACACAAAAACTGTGGCGGTGTGCATGATAATACTTGATAAGATCTTTAATTTTGAGACCGCAAAAGAAAGTTCACAACCCATAAACATAAAACAGAAAAGGCTGACTTTGATTAAGGACACTGAGGCAAACCAATAGTGATGAAAAATGTGGTGTGACTTCACAATATAAATGTACCAGAAATGGCTTTCCCTTTTAACCCTGAGCCCAAAAACTGCCATGTAGTTTTGGGGAAAACAGCATATAAGAAAAGTGTATGTAAGGGAGAAAAGGACTTTGGATAACAAAAATAAACCACTGTCATGTGAAAACTTAAGTGCATTTAAGTCTGATCAAAAATTGTCTTCTAGAATGCATTTCCACAAGTGAAAAATTTCTGAGTATTCTGAATAAATGAGAATTATTCAGAAACATGACTACATTTATGTGAAATTCTGTTTAGGAAACAAGGAACACCTTGTTTTCTCGCCAGTCAGCATAGTATAAATCAGAGCAAGTAATACACTCAACCTGCAAAAAGGGAAGGGAAGTAAACATCAGACATTATGAGCCACAGAAAAGACCCAAGTAAGAAGAGGAGAAAGCAAGAGAAAATGCGTCATTTTCTGCAGACTATATAAAAAAGAGTAAGCAGGTGATAATCAGAAGCTGTTTGCCATAGTGCTAATCTGACTACTGCTCTGAGATCCAACTGTGTTAAATGCTCTATTAAGGAAGTTTGAATAAAAATAACAAAACACAGATTGTGCACAGTACAACTAACAAAACCTTCCATTTTCACATTTATCTTTCAGGAGAATGAAGAGAGGAACTCTGCAGACACCGTTCAGTAAAAGTACACCCATGGCTGGCATACCAAGTTAAAAAAAGAAAAAGGGGAAACCGCAGGCAATTTGCAGGTGTTTTTTTATGAATGATCTTTGAATATGTCTGGTGTTTTAACACAAGCCTAAGAAAGTAATTGCCAGCCAGCTTAAAATGCAAAACTAAACCTCCATTCCTGCCCACCCCTACGGCAAAACTGCACTTGTCATACTGAAAGATATAAACCCTAATTAGGCCCTGGGTACCTCTCTGAGCCATTTTGCTGAAGATGCATAGCAAATGTAACGGAAGCTACACGCATTTATCAAACTGGCAGTAAGAAACTCCAAAAGAATTTAAAAATGCTCAGTGTTGGTGTCATGCACAATGTTTTCAACCGGAATTAAGGCTCCCACGTTCAGGATAAAAATGGTGTATTTGAAATATAACATGCAAACAGAAGTAATGAGCAGGTAATGAGCAGCCCTCAGTCTGCTTAATATTGCAACCCACTTCACGTCAACTCTTACCTATTTCTTAAGCGCTAGAAAGCCTTGTCTTCATACTTGGCTCTTATTTTTTCAGATGATTCATCTAAAAAAAATCAGATTAGACTTTCCTTATTTTTGTGGATATTTACAGATTATATAGAGAAAAACAAAAAAAACCCCAAACCTTTTGGTCAGGGCATGCAAAAACACTCTCAAAATCAAACCAAATGCATTATCAACATCCATACGAGAAGTCACCTGTCAGCTCCTGAAAACCTCCCTCTCATGAGTTCTGACTCAAAACCTGCAGTGAACGTAGGTGAGGTGGAAGCGCAGCAGAGAGATCCCTTCTGCTCTGACACTGTAGCTTACTGCTGTGCTATAGGACGAGACAGCAACAAGGAGTAAGCATCTTAAATCTAAAACTACCAGAGATCATGACTAAGTTATTTGATCAGAAATCTCTACTGGGAGAGAAATCCACTTCATTCCATGTTTGCAATGCCCTAAGTACGACAGGCTCTATTGTGTGATAGAGACTCCTCAGCGTTATTGCTGCATAATAAATAACCAGTTACCTGCTCATCATCACTGTGTCCACAGATCTGT